TAGCAGCTCTATTCGCAAAGTTTCAACAAGCAGTATTATATGAGTTAAGGATGCGATTAATCAATACAGAACCAACTTGGAGTTATGTATAACTCAGAGCTAGTTGTGTTCGACTCGTAATCGACTGGTCGTGTGTTCAAATCTTCGTCCAAGCTATGGTTGGAAAAAGGATCACTCTGTTTCTCACAGGATTTGAGTGGTATAGCATAGCTCACTATGGTGCGTCGGCTCGATTCCGATACAGAATGATGGTTATTTTTTTATTTTTTTGGGGCAAAAAGTAAACGCGTTAAGAGGTGTTCATATCCTACTGCATCCAAAGACAGCAAAGCCCGAAAGCTCGTCATAATCCTTCTGCAATATAGAAGAGTTTGTACGCGATTTGACCCAAAAAACGTTACATGTGAACTATTTGTCTTGTAACATCCCGGTTTAGAGCAATTTTTGCTAATGACCGGAGCGTTATATTAAAAAGTTGTAAAAGGATCACTCTAATTCAGCCTTGAAACTCAAATCTAGTAGAAACTAATTCTTTCTGGTTTTACGCTGTTGAAAGCATGTTGTCAGAAAATGACCACTAAAATTGTGTATGCCAAGGCCGTAAAAGAAAAATAAACTCTCGAAGAAATAAATGTATGCGTTGCTTAACATCACATTAAAAACATCCCGAGAGACCACATGAATGCTATGGTTAGCAGCTCACTGAGTACCAATCATATGAGTGATTATTTGTTGTAGCATGAAGCCTTGATAGTTTTTCTGATCCGACTATTGATCGAAATGTAGAAAAGCCATTGAAATGTCGTTGAGGTATTCTCTTCTTAAAAAGCGAATCGAATTATTTCCTTATTCAAACAATGAAAAAGAGAAACAACTGTTTTTTTTTCGATACCAAAAGTCTGTGAGTCACTTTTTATTTTGCATTTGACGAAGAACTTATTATTTTTCAAAGTGCGTAGATGCAGGTGAGTATTCAAACCATTCAAAGATGTTGCATATTTTATTGCTAAAATAGCTTTTTGCTCCCTCGATATCGTAGATTACGATCTACATTTGTTTAGCACATCAAAAATGAGTCTCATGCCAGAAATTCGAGCAGTCATCCTATTCCAAAGTGTTGAACATTTCGGAACCAGTTCCGCCCCCGGAATTAGGTGAAAGCGGATTCACTGGGAATCCCTAGGAATTTCGGAATTAGGCCAATACAGAATCGTTGGGAATTAGACGGAATTCCGTTGAATTCCTGTTCGACCTAATTCCCGAAATTCCGTACCGGAATTACATGGTGTGGGTGCAAATGTGGGTGTTGCGATAAGCGTGGGTGTCAGTGCGGGTGTTGCTATAAGTGTGGGTGCACTGAATTCCTGAACCGTTTGGAATTAGGCGGAATCAGTAAGAATTCTGTGTAATTCCGAAATTGAATCGGGAGGGATAAACGAAATTCCGAAATTATATGGAATTGGTCGACAGCGATTCCGGGAATTGCGGAATTGAATTGGAAGGGATAAACGGAATTCCTGGAATTATATGGGATTGATTCCGTGAGCGGAACTGGTTCCGGAATGTTCAAAATTGCGGAATAGGATGTATTCTTCGGAGCCCATCCTGCAAATTTCACAAACTCACCTTGCCGATTTCCGTAGAATTTTTTGCTGAGTATTTCAGTTTCGTCGAACCCCACTCGCTGTTATTCCGCCTGTCCTTCCTTTATTTTTCCAGTCTGCTATATGTTCCGCACCGTCCCCGTGACACCCATGAAAAGGTTTTTTTCTTAAACGATTCGCTTGCAGTGATTTATTGGATTGGACCGAAAGCAAATGGATTCCAGAATGGAGAAGATTTCTTACGATTGATTCTTGGATTTTCCATCATAGCGTATATTGTTCAGGTTGTTTCTTAAACATACATTCTAAAAAAGGTTGTTATTTTCTATACAAAGTAAGATTCTTTCTGGTTTTGTAAAAACTGAGGTTTTGATACTGAACCATATCAGAAAAATAGAAGTAAAAGTTTCTTACCAAAGTTTTTGCACTGAACCATTAATGAATAGCTGGAATAAATGTTTCGTATCCCGGATTTCGTGCAAATCCATTTGATGAAAATAGAAAAAAGGTTCTTCAGAAACATTTCCATACAAAACCTATGCCAGAAACACGAAAAACAAGGTTTCTGACCAAAAGTTTTCGTACAAATTAATCTGCACTAAACCTTCTTTCACTTCTTCAAGCAGCCAGAAACACCCATTCTGCTGACACTGTTGATACTATGCATACCATTTCGAGTATTTCTCAAAACCCAAGAATGTTATACACGAAACTAATCAAAAGCAAGTGAAAGCTTTCGATGAGTAATTTTCTGTATTTAACAGAAAATTGCAATATAGACTATTTCAATATAATTTTAATTAAGTTGATATAAACCAATCTTGGATTTTGAAAAATAATCGAAATAGGATGCACTCCATCGACAGTCCAGAGGTTTAAAATAATCTACAAGGATGATTTCCAATTTTGAATCAACCTATAATATAGAAACACGTCAACATATGCAACTTAAAAAGATCAAACTTACCCCAAGATTTACGTGCTTGGACAAGTCCATAATCAAAAAATAAACAATTAGTTTTCTTTCAGCAGCCGACGCTTAACTAAGAGGTGGTACATGGATACGCCAGATAGTATTAAAATAAAATAATTATTTTCCATTTCAAAAAATGAACCTTGCCTAAAGGCTGGCAGAAGTATGAATCTAAAATAAAAAAATGACACATTTCTTTTTATTAAATAAGAACAAACTTCAACGGAGAAATGGCGTACTTTAAGCGGAAAGACACGTCAAAGTACAAAAGTAGTTCAAAGTAGTTTAAAGTAGCTTAAAGTACTTTAAACAAGCCAAAGTAACTTCAAGTACAAAAGTTCCCTGTTTCTCTATTTACAAACTTACGATATGTTCTTACATTAATGCACCAATAATAATGGAAAAAAATAATTCTTTTTATTAAATAAGATGAAATTTACATATGCGGGCATATTTTGATGAATCTATAATAATAATATGAAATAATTCGTTTTATCCAATGAGAAGAAACTTACCTATTAAGTCAATAGAAGGATGAATCTGTATAAAGAAAATCAAATATATTTTCTATTTAATCAGGTGAGACTTAATAAATGCGCATGTATGGATGAGCCTATTATAAAAAAAATAAAGAAATTTAATTATTCAATAAGATGCAACTCACTTAAAAGTTGATTGATGGACGCATCTAGAATAAGAAAATAAAATAATCATTCCTGTTTGAAAATATGAAACTTGTATATAGAAGCATATATATTTTTTTAACATATATATTTATTGTGCCATATAAATTTTGGTTCACAATGAGTTTAAAAAGAAAAGAAAGTTTAGAGAGAAAACATAATGAACATAAAGAATAAATCACTGAAAAGATAACAGTGCAACGGGAAAAACATTACAGGTCATTTGTAGAGAAAAGAAGAACACTGATCAAATCACAGATGAGGATGATAGAAAAAATTAAAATACAAATGTATTTAATAAATTTGTGTAGATTCTAAAGCAGTTATATTGCTTAACATGTATACAATCAAATGCAGACCAACCCACGAGACAGTGTTTAACTTGCCTAACTAATCTATTGTAAAATCTGTTGTTACTTCTAAAACCTAATTCCCTCGTCCAGCATTTATTAATATCAGTTAATAAAAGATATGCATTCCAGCATTGTTGAAATGCAAGAGCCTCAGGTGATATTATCAGATGAGGCACTAATTTTCTCCAATATACAAAAAGAAAATCGTATATAGATTTCTCCTTAGTTATAACTAATGTTGTAAGATCATCCCAGTTATAAAGTCCATAAATTATTCTCAAACCTGTACAGAACTTATGCTTTATCCTCTCTTTCTGTTTCTCGGTAAAGTAGAACCAGGTTGTAAATAACCATATGTAGTGCGGGAGAGCATATGAATAGTAGATTTTCTTACGGATTTTCATTTCTTTCTTACTAATTGTTCTAAAAATTATTTTCATTGCCTTATGCACTTTGGTGATGATCATAAGTCTATCGTTGATGTATTTATCCCATCCTAATTTAACTGAGATACATATTCCCAGATATTTAAATCTATTAACGAATTTTATTTCTTGCGAATTAAACCACAATTTAGGATAAAGAGGTGCCACAACGCTGTGAATAAAGACCGCTTTAGTTTTAGCAGCATTCACCTGCAAAAATCATATCCTTCGAAAAATATTCAAGTTGCTTAAGGACAGTCGCTGCTCTTTGTTCTAATTCAATCACGTTCAGAGAAAATTTTTTCTCAAGTGAACCGCTGAGTATTATGGCAACATCATCCGCAAATAAATGTATTACTATATTATCAAAGTATGAGGTGATAAAGTGCATATGCAGCCTGAATAGAGTCGCTGCCATTACCGATCCCTGCGGTGCGCCTTTCTTCATCACAACTAATCGCGATTTCTGATCACCGTGACAAATATAAAAAGATCTATTTCTCAACCAGTTAAAGATCCACTTTAATAGTTGGAGCGGCATATGTAATTCATATAAGTTCTTTATAAGATGCGGGATTCACATACTGTCAAATGCAGACATAAAATCTATGAAAATTGCAGCTGCAGGTTTGTTATTAGCTGCAACTGTAATTCTCAACTCTTCGATGAGCGAGATGATTCGAGTTTGGAGTCTCCTACCGGGAGAAAACCCGATTGTTCATCAATGTAGACATTCATATTTCTACACCAATTGAGAATACGATTATGTATGATCTTTTCTAAACATTTGCCTTGATTAGTCAACAGTGAGATTGGTCTTAGTTTCTCAGGGGGAGGGTAACTTCCCTCCTTTGAAAGACAGGCAACCTTTGCATGTTTAGCAGCTGAGAAAAATTCACCTTTAGATATACATTTATTGAATAAAATCGTGATAATGTTTACATATGTCTCCGGTAGATTCTTTAATAAAAAGGCAAATGTGCCAACGCTATCTGTAGATTTCTTTGAAGATATTTTTTTAATTGGATACTGACTTCATTTATAGAAATCTTATCAAGTGGAATATTAGGCATATATCCTAATTGCTCATAGATTGATATACACTTTTGATGTACTATATTATTCTCATCATGCTGATGTTCAGCAAAGTGTTTCTCATAATGATTCGCAAGAATTTCAACTATACTCGCAGTCTCTTTAATTATTGTATTATTAACATTAAGACCACGGAAAGGTGGTGAATATAAATGGAAAATCGGTGTTGCAATTTTCCATATATTTTGATCTTTCTTTATCAATTCCAATCTTTTTTCGTATTTATGTTTCATCAGTTCTGAGCGTTCAGCATTAAATATCTTTTTTAATTCAATAAAGTTGTTTAAATTAAAAATAGTTTTATTACGTCTGTACCGGCGTCTGCTTCTATTCATTTCTTTAGCTAGCATCACCAGATAGGATGGCCATGAAGGCCTATATTGTTTAATTGGTTTACAACAACTACATCTATCCCACAGATTTTGTAAAAATAGTGAGAAATGCGTGAAGAAGAATTGTTCGTCGTAGTTGTAAACCCGTGCTAACCAATATTCATATACGCAACTAAGGAAAAACTTGAAGATATTCCAATTTGTTTTCCTAAATACTGCTGAATCAGAAATATTCAGTGGTGATTGAATTAGCACAGGGAAATGGTCAGAGGTACCTTCTTCTAATACTTCAGTATGCCAACCCGTGGCATCATGCGTGAGGCCAAAATCAATTATGGCATCTGATCTGCGTGAAGTAGGTTTATCTGGTAAAATCATTTCATTTCCTGTTTCCTCTAACCATGATACAATACGGCTACCACTAACATTGTTCACTTCGCATTTCCAATCTACATGTTTCGCGTTAAAATCGCCAAAAATACAAAAAGATTTATTTCTACATTTTGTAAACAGGTGAAACGGAGGTATTGTACATGGGGGAACATATACAACACCTATTAATGTTGATATTGGTGTTATTTCAATTTCTACCATTAGAAAATTTAAATCTCTCCCTACTTCCTTATACTTAATAGAGTGGTGGATTAATAGACCAACACCTCCGAATGAATTTGTCCCCTCCTGAACCAGTAGATGATAATTAGGAAACTGGGGCAACATTTTCAATGCTGATTTACCTATTTCTGTTAAAAAGCAAATTTTCGGAGCATGTTTAGCAATGATTATGTCCACATCAGCAATATGACTGCTTAAGGAATTTACATTATATAGTATAAAACTAAGATTAGAGTCTTCTATTTTAGGTTTACTTTTAGACCAGCTATTGAATAAATCAGTTGTATAGGATCTTGTATTCCATTCATAAATGATTTGTTTTAATTCTTGCTTTTCTCTACTACTACAACTAAATGTATCACTAAGTACATCATCTATATATGGCGAATAATATCTAAATGTTTGATTATCCATTATGGATTTGCAGATTTTCCGTTGCATCCATAATCTTCATTGTAATTTCATCAATTAATGGTGAATAATAAGCCGAGAAAAATTTATTAATTGATGCTTGTCTTTCATCCAAAGGTATAACAGATATCTGCTTAATCATATCTTTAAATTGATGTTCTCCAGTTTTATCCATTAATAGACATAAAGCTTGATTGGTAATTTTAGTAATTTCAAGAACTTCATTTAATGCAGTTTTTAATACATAAATCATTTCATTTTGACGTTGAATTGTTGACGAGAAGCAGTTCATTATAGATTGAACTTGATTTAAACACCTATTCATTTTTGTTGTAGTATCACTAAATTTCCTATCATAATCTTGTTTTGCTTCATTACATTCCTTTTCAATTCGATCTAAAAAAAAACTCTAATATTTGAATGTTCCTTTAAATTTATATCAGGATAATTCAAATTAATATTTGGCTCATAAATAGCTGCTTTTGGTGAAAGCGAGGGCCAAGCAGGATTTGAATTAGTTTTTGTTGGTTTATAATGATAATGGTATACAGCTTGATTTTTATCTACCATACGTTTACATAGTACTTTACCACCTTCTTGACGAAGGTTTGATGGAATAAAAATTTGAGTATCATTTGTTAATGCTTCCGGATGTTTACGAAGGTATTGAATAAGTTCTTTACGATACGAATGAACTGTAGGGCATTTATAATCTGTAGCAACATGTTCACCTTGACAATTATGACATGTTATTTTACATTCGTTGTGCTCTCCTACCTTCCGATTACCACCACAGCGTTTACATCGTTCATATAAAAGCTTACAAAGTCTTTTTGAATGACCTGGTAAATTGCACATAGAACAAAACATAATCCGAGGTGCAGCAAGAAATTCATAAACGTGTAAACATTGTCCATCAATACAAATAATACCCGCATTCAGAATCTGTTTGTATTCCAAATGGTTCAATAAATCCATTCTTATAAATCTTGTTCTACCGTTATTAGTTCCTAATACTTCATCAAAATAATAAATAGATTTAAATTTATTCATAACTTCAATTTTCATATCTTCCACACAAGATGAAATAGGAACATTTTTAATCAACACTGATCTCTGTGGAGGTAGATTCCTCGACTTAATAATATAAATAGTCGTGTTCTCAACCTTGTTTGGAATATTTTTATCGTCACAACGAAAAACAAATAATTCAATATCACTTGTGATACAGCCAATATCACCTTTAACATCAATATAACAACTATCAAACCCAATTAAATCATTATGTTTAGGATTAACACCTTTAAAATCTTTTTCAATTGATCTAATTAAACCTTTAATAATAATGCCACCTTCATTTTGATTATCTATTTTAGGTTCACATAGAATTTTTATCGGTGGGAGGTGTCGATTGATTGCATAATCAATAGCATTTCGTGTAAAATTAAAAATGGATGACTCATTGTTCATATTATTGTTATTCCCATTATTGTTGATGTTTGATTGGATGTTTCCATTTTCTATAGTTGTCGCATTAAGTGAAGAATTTGTAAATGTCTTTGAATTTCTTTGAAAAGATCTCGATCGTTTTGGGGTATCGTTTCTAATAACCTGACGTTCAAATCATCATCACTCGATGTACGGCCACGTTTACCACCTTGATCACTTCCACTTGGCGAATTTAATCCTTGATAACCCATACTAACTTTCTTCAGAAATGTTAATTCAACATCACGTTTGCCAGCCTCAATTACATCTTTAGAGTTTTTGTAACGGACGGACCTTGGGTCCTTGTTTGACATGTTCAACAAGTAAATCAATAAAAATTAATGAATACTTGTTGATTGGTAATTGGTGAAACACGTGTATTCACACGTGTCCCTTATATATAATCGTTTACAGGAAAAAAGGAGAACGAGAAAGAGTGCGTCCTATCAGTACAAATATAAATAGGCGAGTGATATAGAAGCATATATCGACGAACCTTTAATCATAGAATAAGTAATATGTTATATATGTCAAGGCAAAGTCTACTGGAAATGCCTTGCATAAGTAATTCTTAAATAGAAATATTAATCAGGTCATTTTTTTCAAAAGATCGATGTTCCCCGTCATATCGATATTTGAATCCGCGTGTGTAATTGAAAATGGATAGCATTAATTACTATGTTTATATTGCATAATTTCAAACTTATTGTTGATTCATTGACTTGAATCAATGGATAAAGGGAAAAAATTTCTATTTACAGGAGTCAGGAAACTTCCTAATTCGTTGTTGTGAGGAGTTTGATAAAAAGAATAGATTGAATTTGTTTTTGTAATTGAATAGCTATAAGTGATTGAGAAAACCGAGAGAATATTCTGTGTTATATAGGCTCGATGGATTAAGTGTATGAGTGAGTTAATGAGGTTGACGAACTACTTCTCAACTTTCCACTCATTCATTCAATATATAAAAGATGAATCATTTGAAAAGCTATTCTTTCAAATGTATAAAATTTTCCTCTTGTTTTGACAACACGTAAAAATGCAAAGAAAAATTAAAGCATAAAATGAATAGGAAAACATAAAACACATGATGGTGTACACAGAGGAGAAAGCAAGAAAAAGCAAATGTAGCCTACTTTATTCAACTCGAACTCGCTTAGCAGCAAGTTGTGTTGACTGTTTTGCGGTTGTTATGATGGATGAAGATGAAGTTTTATGCTGTTTATGTTTTCGTTTAATAACTACAGAATAAAGTCCCTTGGCTTCTGTAGATATGTGTAAACCATCATCGTACTGCTGTATTATTGAAGATTTATCAGAAAGATAGATTTTGTTTGCTTTCTCTGCATATAGATTGTTCCAACGATCTTCGATATAGGGGTAGTCCTTTTAACCTAATTTAATATTAAGTTTTAACTAAAACTTTAACACTTTATATTAACAAAAAAAAATTGTTAGCATAGCTCCTTTGGGGCTAAAATGTGGAACTCACATATATCCCTTCGGCTTACTAGTATAATTCAAAATAGTTCATCTGAAAAATCTACCCTGATTTCCAAAACCTATAATTAGGTCATTGCCTATTTGCTTATGTCTGTAATGGAGTATTAATTGTTAGCTCGTGTATTTACCAATGGCAGAGACTAGTTTCTATAGCCTTAATGGGTAAGCATTGGTTTTTTCGTGTAGTCTGTAATTAAAAAAGGAAGAGATAGCAGACTAATTAGTCAAGCTCCTAATTAGCACAACTTTAAACTCATTAATGTCTGCAATGGGAAGGGTGTGGGGAGTCACAAAAATCTCGCTTTTAAACTTACACTCACCATTTTCTTCGAAAATATATGTGAGTTCCACAAAAAGCTTAGTAATTGCCACTTAATTACATAATATTAACGGGTGGTCCATAAAGAACCGACCTCTGTATATTTTTAAGATTTCTCTTCTATTATCTCAGGAATTAAAATTTTTTTTATCAAACGACGGCGCTTCAAATTCTCTACAAAGCTATGTATGACTGAACTCGAAAGTCATTTTGAATATATTTAAGAAAAGATGAAAAGTAAAGATATGCAAACAGCTACACACTGAGTTTAAATGTGTCGCATGTGTCGTGATTTGCGAAACAATGTACGACACATTCGACACATTCTGAAAATCTTTTTTTTGAACCCACTAGCCAGAAACGTTTTTTTATCTTTGTCAAAAACATCTTGATAATTTTGTTGATTTTGGTCTATTGAGCAGTTTCATTTCTGAAAACTCAAACAGGCCAGATCTTGAGATCCGTCCAGTCTCGAGTCGGTCCGGCTTTTACCAGACCATTTTCCGGTAGTCCCATCTCGATCAATGATCTAGATAGGCATTCTCTCGACTAATTATTAATCGAGAAATAATCTAAAAAATACGTAAATGAAAATACATAACTGTCGCATGTTCAATCGAGTTCTCTATATAAGGCCTTTTACGCAAAAGAAAAGGGTGAATCGATAGTCGGCATACAGAACGAGACAAATTTATTTGCGACGCTTTCTATTGCGACATATTTTCGACACTGAACCTGCGACACTATTACTCGCAACACATATATGCGACACATTTTAATTTAGAGTGTAGGGCTTTCAAGAAAAATGAGGTTCAGATACGAAATCATCATCTCCAGCTACTGATAGGAAGACTTTTTGCGAAAACTCCATTTCTATTAGTTTATGGTCGATTAAAATGGTTTTGAGAAAAAAGAAGCTCAGAATCGGGATCCCCATATCAAATTACGTATAGGAGGCATTGCACCTAAGCCACCACCGCCATTGCTGAATTGATCTCACGAATTTGGCTGCTATTTTTGCAGTAGATACCTACATTAGAGCTAGGCATAAGCCAAAAATTTTAGCTTAATTGTATGAGCCGTTCTCGAGATATACCACTTGAAAGTACGGGTACTCAATCAAAATTAAAAGTTTTTTCAGTGCAGTACTTTTCAGTATATTTTTATTTTCTCTCAAGTTATAATAGTTATTGCTGAGATTTTTTCAGCTAAGATACTATCGACTACGGGCTATCTTTTGTGACTTTTAAAAGTACTATATCCAGGAATAAATTTTGATTCGCACCATATTTTATTTTCAGAAACCATACCCACGCACTTTGGGCAAGTTAGTCGGACCAGTGAGATCGTATCCATTGAAAGTACTCTCGTTTGAAAGGGCACATCAAAATTCCCACCTGTAAAAAATTGACACATCCAATATTTTTATTCTTTCATTAGTAGTAACTAGTGTTTTCTGGAAACTAACTACATAATTTGATAGCACTTAAAATTCTCTACAAATTCATATACAAACATCTTGTGTTACATCTTTTCGTTAAGAAAACTTCTTGCACAATAAAGATGCTTTTCTTCTCGAATTCTCAAGGGGAAAACAGCGGACTTGAAGTACCAAAGTACGTCAAAATACACTACTTGAAGTAGCTTCAAGTACTTCGAAGTAAGTCGAAGTAGCGTGAAGTAGCTCTAAGTCAATTCAAGTCCAAAAGTTCGCTGTTTCCCCCTTGCGGATTCTGCTAAATAGAGATTTTGTATTCTTCTTTTTTAAATTTCTCATCCCTATTTGAATAGAAAACACAAATTATTTCAAAATCAAATGCAAAGTGCAACAGAGCGTGAAATTCTCTATCATTGTACACACTAGAAATTGAATAGTATCAAATTAAAAATATCAACTGACTCTAGTCGAACCTTCTTGCTGATGCGCATCAGTTTCTTGAAGTTGTGAAGGAAGAAAATCATGTGCTATGGACAGATCTTAAGGTCTCCACTGACCAAAAACAAGAAAACAAAAGCTCCCTTAGGGAAGGCTAATGGTTTGGCAGAGGGGTGCAAAAGGCATATACAGAGTTTTCAGAAAAACGTTATCAATATGATAGAATATGTCAACTGTTGAATATTTTTAACCGCGCAATCATTTTCTGAAGTAAAAACATATCGGTTTCCTCTCAAAACGTATCGATTTCTTCACAAAATATTAAAACGTGTCGATTTCTTCACAAAATATAAAAACGTGTCGATTCCTTCACAAAGTATTAAAACATAAGCGATGCCTGTAGTATGACAGCCTGAAACAGATACACGAGAAACATGGTAAAAAAAATTCCTATATAACCGTCGCGCGCAGTATTGAGAAACATTTGTCTTGAAATGACTATTGTTCATATAAAAAAGCTTAATGTTTTTTTTTGTGTTTTAAGGCCAGTAAAAAATAGCACGATATTCGAGTATCTCCAGTCCCAATTAGCTCTTTGACCTATGTTGTTTCTATATCAGGTTTGATTCAATAATTTCTACCTATAGCAAATGGAAATAAATTCAAGAAATACTCACTTTTCCCCATTGAACTCATAATACATTAAAAACTATTATCAACCCAAATTCGCTTTGAAAACTGTATTGGATCTGAAACCTATTTTATTCGATGTAGACTTTTATTTTCAACCACACAGTATCATTTTAGATGGGATCATCAAACAAAAATGATGAGCTGGGTGGACACCTGGGTGTGGATATATATGGGTGTGAATTTGGTGAGACATGCGGTTACAATAGATTATCTGCAATACTTTCCGACTTACTTCAAAATTTGGTGGCATTGTTTTGTCATTCCCAATATTAAAAATTCTCACCCACGATCACACTCATATATATATATATATATATATACACCTACACCCAGCTATCCACACAACTCATCATTTTTTGGCTGATTACCTCATCTAAAATGATACTATACAGTAGAAATAATATTATACATCGAATAAAGAGAGTTTCAGATCCAATACAGGTCTCAAAGCGAATTTGTACAGAAATAGATTTTATGTATTATGAATTCAATGGGAAAAAGTGAGTATTTCTCGAATAAACTCTATTGTCTGTCTGATGACCTCCCCTTCCTCGAACCAGTTAACGTACGTTGTGTTTTGATTTATCCGTTGAAGTGGTCGTGCGATGATATATGTTTTACGTTTGATCGATGCTGAATAAACCGTTGCTTTAAGATTAATAGACTATTTGTTCTCAAATTTTTGAATACGCCAACTATTTTAGCTAAGATAATTGAACATGCAGGTTTTATAATTCTAACTTTGTATCATTTACTTCATAGGAAAATCTCTCGATTAGCATCTGATTTTCTTTTCACGATGAAGTCTGTTTTATTCTAGAGATTCTGTTGGTAACTGTTTCTTTGAATCTACATAATTATGCTTGTTGACGAGCACATGATGTATGCTTTCAGTGAATATTGCCTATATGATGAAATAGGTTCTTGTAGTTCTTATATGTCTCAAATTAGGTAAAAATCTTATCATCAGCCGAACCCTTCGCGTTATATTTCTTCTGGCTTTACCGATTTGTTTCCGGACGTTGTATATTTAGTTGATCTAAAGAATACTATCGTGCCTTATTTCGTACAAATTGGTGTTATTCACCGATAAAACAAAGGATCATATGACATTTCGGAATGCAGTTTAGTTCTTCATCGATTAACACGTTTTATTGATATTGAAAAGCCTTTCTCAAAATATATAAGATTTCCGCGTCTTCATTTTCCTTCGAAAGACATAGCATATTCAAGTTTTATTATCGTTTATTTTCACTATCTATGAATTTTGTAGGGTGCTTCCGTACATATACATTTGTTATAGGATGGAGAGATAGTGATCATTGCTCACATATAAATCACAATGAGTCTTTCCACATAGTTAAGGAGAGAAAAAGAAAACTATCATCATACAATCGTGTTGCACAATGCATCGCATGGAAATGTATTCAGTAATAGGAATTCAAAAATCAACAGGTTAAGAATTGAACCCTTTTTCTGCAACCGATTTCAATGAAATCGAAATCGACAAGAGTCGTGACAGTAGCCATACAAATAGATTGTTCATATGATTAGGTCAAGTTGAACAGGATGAACCGTTCTCGAAACAGCAGCATTTTCTCAGTTTCAAAAAACTAATCATTGATAAAAATGTTTAGTATTTCTTGCAGCTTTTGATATTTTTACAAATTTCAACTTCTACCTTTCTCATATATTACAATTCCGCTTCAAGTGTGTACAATGATAGAGAATCTCACGCTCTATTACGCTATGCATTTGATTTTGAAATAATTTGTGTTTTCTATTCAAATATGGATGAGAAATTAAGAAGAAAAGAATACAACAATTTTATATATAACAATTTGAGGAGAAAAATATTTTCACTGTGCAAGAATTTTTTTTAACAGAAGGATGCAGCGCAATATGTTCATATATGAATTTGTAGAGAATTCTAAGTACTATTAAACTATGACGTTAGTTTCCCGAAAACGCTAGTTGTTAGTGATGAAATAATAAAAATATCGAATAGGTCAATTTTTTACAGATCGAAATTTTTGATGAAAATGTTAAGACTTTTTCTAAGCCAAAATTTAATCTGCCAAACTTTTGAGAACATCATTCGATGAATTTTGATGTGCTCTTTCAAATGAGAGTGTTTTCAGTGCACACGATCTCACTGATTCGACTAAGTTGCCCAAAATACGTGGGCATGCTTTCGTAAAATCAAATATGGTACGAATCAAAAATGATTCCTGGATATAGTACTTTTAAAAGTCGCAAAAGATTGCCCGTAATCGATAATATTTTCGGTGAAAAAATCTCAGCGATAACTATTATAACTTGAGAGAAAATTAAAATATACTAAAAAATACGGCAATAAAAAAATGTCTGATTTTGATCGAGTACCCATACTTTCACGTCGTATATCTCGAGAACGGTTCATCCGTTTGAGATGAAATTTTAGGCATATTTCTAGCTCTAATGTAGATATCTACTGCAAAAATAGCAGTCAAATCGGTGAGATCGATTGAGCGAATTTTCGCAGAAAACGGTCGTGACTTACGTGCAATGCCTCATAGGGAGCTATTTTCGGATAATCCTGACGTCGATTTCTCATATTGTTGCTTAATTTTAAGTGAATTAAGTGTTAAAAAGAAAAACTTGATATTAAAGTTAAAAATAAGCAAGTACATTAACACTTAATATTAAGTAATTAAGGGACAACTACTAAGCTGTTTTCGTTAAAATTAAATGTTAAGTAGAATCGCTTAATTAACTCAAATGAAAAACTAAGGTCCATCCCTAACTGCGGGGGTTAATGGTTATGGTGTTTGATTTTGAAACATCAACGGTGTGCTACACTTAGGCATAAGAACTGGAGAAGCTATTGATAATTGATTAAGATCACCATCAGTATGCTCATTAAGAGGTCGTTGGTCAATATTAGCTGACCTAAGAAAATTTAAATTAGACGAAGAATATTGATTCTGCTCAACTTGTTCAAGTGATTAATCAACAATCTAGCACAATATCAAAAACTAAGCCTTTGTCGTACGGTGTAACTAAAGTACGATAATTGTGGAAAACGCTGTTGAGCGTCCTCTGAATTGCACTTTCTACGTCTCAATCAATCCTCTACTCTGTCTACTTTAAAAAAGCTTCTCGTTTCGCTTTGTTTGCTTGTTTTGTAGCCTCTGTTTCTCTCATTTTAGTTTGTCACTTTCTTCAATCATGCAACGAGTCTATTTTGGTTCAAGACGACAAATCAGTGCGGTGAAATCTAGATTTCTATTGAGATATTTTTCAACGATTACAAGACGATTCATTCTCATATTTTTATCAATCCTCAGTTTGGCAGCTTTTTTATTTTACATTGAATTGTTAGTTGGCTGTGAATACAACCGTTTTAGAGCTATTTAATAATTCGTTCTGTCTTTAGCCCATCTTATGGCAAACAAAGAATGCAGCATCTACTATGTCCCGTCCTTCAACGCCCCAATATAACGCCCAATTCGTCTATGAATAGTGCTTATCATCTTCCTAATATTGGTTTCAGTAGCGAGAACGAAACTATATCAAACTTCCACTATCGGAACTATTCTGATTTTAAATTACTTCTTCAATCCCGCATCGCTCATCGCCTTCTCCATCATGGTGAATTACCTATCAATGCTCTTTTTACAAATCCACTTTTTATTGACATTCCTTATCCTTCCTGCGATGGATTATGGCTGGAGTTTGTATGTTTTTTAAGTTTCTGTACAGAGGAAGTTTTTTTTATCCATACACGAACCTCGTTATATCTAGGGATGTGGAGTTTCAGTGAAAATACTGAAAAACTGGCAGTTATTTACTGACAGTTCTCTAGCGCATTCACTGCCGGTAACGTCGGTGATTAGTAAACTGAAACTGCACATCCATAGTTATATCAATAGATCTTCAATGGGCTTTCTTTCTTGGAGAAAAAAAAGGTTATGATAGCCATTTTTTATTTATATTCAAAACCGATAATCATATCCAACAAGCAATCTAAGCTATTCATAAGATTAAAAATCACATATTCTCACTGTCCTTCTTCAAGTATTTTGTGGAACATACTCTGTTTCTTCAGCCATTATTGATATTCAAAAGTTGATTACTGACAACTTGGATTGTCCTGCCATCCCTCTCGTCTTAGTTTTTGTTATGCTGGAAATCGACTGATAAAACTGGGACGTTTATAATATCATTCATTGAAGCCATGGATCTAAGATTAACAGGACTTTCAGAATTGAGTCGATTGTTTTTTGTTTTCAATTTAGGGTGTTTTCCGAGGTGAAAGTATTTGTAAATCGGCTAACTGGAAGGCGAAATATTGTGGCAATTCAAGTAACCCAGTGTTTGGATTCGATTCATTTCAGGTAGATACTTTTTCTATCTTTCTATTTGATAAACATTTTCATAGGGTTTACCGGTCGATTGGCGCCCAAATTATCCTCGTGGCCATTTTTCATTGAACAGCAGTGCCACATCTTATGTTCCACGCAATGTCCAACTGGTGGCTGGTTGGTTTATCAACACATTACCGTCGTTTCTCCAAAATATTGATCATCATTATCGTGATTGCTCACCACCGATGACCTATCTACATGTTGATTCAGATGTGTATGACAGTGCTCGTGATATATTTTATCTTCTTGGTAATCGTCTTGTACCAGGATCAATTATAGTCTTTGATGAGCTCACCAATTATCCTACGTATGACAAGCATGAAATGAAGGTTCTGTTCGAATACATGTCATCGCATGCAAACTTTCGCCTTCGAGTTATTGGAGCAGCAACTCCAATGTATCTGGAACCGACACAAGATATCCATTATCAATCGGTAGCATTTATAGTTGTATGAAGCATTAATATACATGGCGCATGATTCATTACTTTCTTTTCACATACAGTAAAACCTCTCTATTTTGAACACCGTTGGAACTATCGAAAGTCGTTCAGACTGACGGGGTGATCACTTCGGAGAGGATTTATGAGCATAGAGAAATTTTTCGAGTTTGACTAAATTTAATAGCTCTTTTTAATGATGAATTGCATTTTATTAAAGTAGATTTGTTTTATGCATTTATAATGTTAGAAAAATTAAGTTTTTATTTTCCGCGATTTGCAAGAAGGTGTGGGTGTGGTTGAGTTAAAAATACAGCCACATTCACACACCCACACCCTCAATGGTAAAAGTGAAAAGCAAATTAACTGATAAGCACTCTTGTTTTTCTATGTTGATTTGATATGTTTGTGTATCGAAGCTCATTTTTTAGAGTGCAGTATTTATATATTGTTTAGCGAAATTATTCGAGTAAAATAGGTACTTTTATTATGGCAACTATACGGTTGCCTGTCATCAACAGAGCTAAGAAGCAGAGCATTCTAATACAAACTGTGAGTGTGATTGTAAGCGTAGCATCGGTCTTCTCTACACATCAACATTCCTCACGCCCATACTATCGATGCTATATTGAACATATCATAGAAATATATATGAAATATGATATTCCTCACTTGACACCCTAAGGAAAGTGCTTCTTCGTTCACAGAATGCACCAATCGGCCATACAAAAAAGGGGCAATTACTAATTTGAAATAACATAGTCTCCAATCTATAACACTGGTCTAGCGATTCCCTAAAAAAATTGGGTGTGCGAGTATGAATAGTTGCTTGATGTGTGCCCACACACAGGCTGGCATCTCGAGTAGACACTGTTGATTAGCTTGTTTTTAATAATGAAAGTGGTTATAGTATATACGTATATTGGATGTTTCAAAAATATCCTGGTATGTATTGTATTAACAATAATTCTTGAGAACATAAAACAAATAGTAGAGAAATAATTGAAATGTGATACGCAATAAAGTTTTTATGATGAATTTCTCGACATGAACGAACAACGTTCATCTGTAGACAACAATCGAAAAATGACCGAAGCGTTTTGGTGCAGTTTTGAATCACATCATTGCTATCACATCAATCCATGTATTTCTGTCCGAATATGTAAAAACATTTGTCGCAAGTGTAAGATAATTACATTATAAATTATGAAAATCTCAAATAGTCTTAAAAGCTGAACTATCTATCTAATGTATCGTTATAGTAAATTTTCAACTATGATTTGAATAATTAAATCAACCGATTACATGTCAATCGTATAAATCTTCTGATTTTTAAAATTCATTCAATAGGAAACAAAGAAATGTACTTATTAAGAGTATTCGAGCATATGATAAAACCGAAGACGAAGGCGAAGTGTTAGTTTGTTGCGTTGTTGTCGTGATAGTAGTGTTGCTATTGAAGATTGAATAATTCACAGGTAAAATAAATTCATTCATCATCAAATTGTAGGCTTGTAAAACTGTCTCATTCTTATCACACTCAGCACGATTACAAAGCAAGGTCATGTTTGTTGTTTTTCGTTCAAATGAAGAAAATCTTTGTTCGATTTTAATCATATCGGGTTTCATTGCAGCGTTGACACATGGTAAATGATTGTTAATAATTAACGAACTATTTTCGAATGAAGAAGACTGATCAAGATGTGCTTGACAATAACTATCAGATGGGCACTGATGATTAGTACATGTTATTACCGATGAATCAGACTTATTGTTATAGAGTAATTCACGAAGTTGTGCCTGAACTGCGAGTGCATTAAATTCGACTAATGCCGGACTAAATAATTCATAAAGAAATTCCCAAGCACAGTTGTCTGATATCGAACAACGATATATAATAGTCGTATTCGTTGAATTAAAACCAAATTCTGTTGTAATTTCAAGCGAATCAGGCTCTTTTATATCCGTTATTGCTAACACGCCACCACCACCGTGATTATCGAAGTCGAGTTGCAAAATAAGTAAACATTGTGCATAGTCTTTTTCGATATTTTTACACATGTGTTCCGATATAGTCAGATTGAAGGTCAAGAATACAAATGGACAATCATATCCACAACGAATAGATTCGATCATAACCATCTGACCGAACAAAAACACTGTCAATAAGACAGTAGAGCAGAGTACACTATTCATTTTTTTGTCAATAACTCAGATTTATTTGATCTGTTGTCAACGAGTTTTCTTTTATGATATACGTGCCATTGTTATCTCTCAAAGATAAAAAAAACGTTATTTCAATGTGGATACACAATTTTTATCCAAACATTAGCAACTGTGGGTCATAAGAAAATGACGTATATGAAACCGAAAAACTATGATTGGCTATCGTTTATATAAATTTCGTTTCGCCCAAGTCTATTGAAATTGAAATATGCTAGAATCAAAGAAATATGATCAAACCGATGAGTTAATGAAATTCTACAGTTCTAATCAAACGATAGACTAAACACAAATTGCTATTTAGCTTATGTGAAAACTGACGATGTGAATGTGCAGAAATATCGAGAATAATTAGACAGTAGTTCTTGTCATCGATTGGGATAAATATTGATTGTCTCCGATATATTTGACTTGCTTCTTTGATTTTCAGCAGCTGTCTGAAAAAAGAAGCGAGTCAACTGCATGTGTGGGTACGAGTTAAGGGAAAATGTGGACGCCATCATGGAGGCACATGCAATTCATTAATGTGAAAAATCTATTTGGTTATTTTGTATTGCTAATAGAAATTATTTCTTTCAATGGCGATTCATAACGCAACTCAATAAATATTTCTGTACATGAAAAATCCACATGAAATAGGATTACTATCTTTGAATTTGCTATACAAAACCAAACGTAAGTATTCTTATTCTTTTATCTTCAAACTTACGACGAAGCTGAAATATTTCTGGTTGATTTAGATATTGTTTGTTTGCGACGACAAGTCACATTCCTGGTCATTTTATTGGTATGATAACGTGTCATGATCATAAGCAAGATACTATTGTAGATGATTTGTTCAAAACATCTGAAGGTGTTCATATTGCCTCAAGGGCATTTTATAATCAATCCAAATAGATCATATGCAATAGTTAATTTTTTCTATCCTATTTTTGTTAATGACAAATGATTTCTTCTTTTCATTTTTCTGTAATTGATTATTGTTTTACTTTTTTTTTATTTGTTTGATTTAGAGGAAATTATCTTGTGATAATAAAAAGAAATTTAAAAAATCATTTCAATGCTTCTACTTATTGCAATCAGTTTCAAAACATAACTAGACTAAAATAGACGAGTTCAACGATTATTTTATGCTTTAATGAGTAACATATATTAATTTGAGTAGCCCGTGTTAACTTCAACTTCTGGTTGTAGTAATATTTTACATAAAAGAACTAAAAAACTATCGTTTTCAATAAAATTCTTTTCAAATTCGACAAGTCTCCTATGAATCATTCTTCGATTAGATAATTTCTATTAGCAATACAAAATAACCAATTAGATTTTTCACATTAATGAATTCCATGTGCCTCCATGATGGCGTCCACATTTTCCCTTAACTCGTGCTCACACTTCGTGTTCTTTTCTCTTACTAGAAAGAGTTCTAATGATACTGTGCAAATTTCATTAGTTTCACTACAGCTCAACTCGATCTTTCGAACTTTGAAAAATAAAATCCTAAACATTCGAATAACTATCGTAATATACAATAGAAAATGATGATCATTTTTCATCGTCAAGCAAAGGTGAATAATTTTACCTAGGAAAAACTTTGATGAGTACCATTAAGGGCGCACTTTCGTGCCAAATTTTTGCGTACGATTTAACAGATTAGCGACAATTCGGTAGTCTATCGTGTGACTGTGAATCCCACTGTATTGGAAAAAGAAGCAGTAAGTTTCACTATATCAATATTTATTCATAGCTCCTTTGCAGAATGCTACTTTTCTAGTGTTAATGACTGATGTCTACGAAACGTATCGCAGACAGTATCCATCGTTTTTTGAGTTTTGAAACTTCAATTACAACGTTTATAAATTTCACACTAAGCCTGTGGAATATAAAAATATTCTTATATAAAGTACTTACCTAGGAAATGAATAAACGAGACGAGACTACAGAAACGTGTATCGTTTCAATCGAAGATCATAGCGATTTCCCGTTGTTTATTAATGATAATTAAGATTATAAAACTATATTGATCTGAGATTACTAACGATATTTTCAATAAAGATTTTTTTCTTATTTGCTCTTGTTAAAAAGATAATTTAAATGACTTCTGATTTTTAAGTTGGTTACAAATTGCTTTTTAATAGCACAATAAATTTAAAGTGTTAGATCATTATATTGTATCACATATGTTGGGACGCCTTGTTATGAGAGGAAACGGATAAAAAATCCTGAGACTCATTGCAATATTTTATTGCTCGAAACGCGACTATGACCCCCTATTATCTAAAAAAAAAGTCATTATTTTATTTACGTCTTGTGACCATGACAAAGTTATGACAATGCACTTCAGTATTTTTGTTTCGAGTTCTTTCCTGTAATATCTTTTTACTTTGCCTATTCTTTTTCTTTCATTTTGATCCACTACTGTTCTTTTTATATTTGGATTCTAAATATATATATCCACGCATTCCTCATTTGTTCTAAGCGATAACATTGATATAAATGAACGTTTTGCTCTTTCATAATACTGATTGGAAATAGAGAGTGAATTTCGATCATATGTGTAGATGTTGAACGGCAAGATCATTTGAACATAAGATTATTTTGCATAACTTAAAAAAACTGACTATGGTTAATAAATAAGAAAAATATAAGCTTTTGTTATTGATTCAATTTTCACTGATACGCATACTATCAAAATGATGCATTTTTGACTCTTGGTTACAAATCTCAGTGACGAGAGAATCACTGACTTTCTACTCTTCATACTCATAATGAACCTGTATACATGTAAAAATGTCAAGTAGAAATTCAGCAAAAACGTCATAACTTGACTTGGAAGAACTTTTTTTTATAAATTTTCTAATCTTGTCGAACTCATAGGAGTTCGTGTGATTCCTTGGCCAGTTTAAACCAAAAATTTCTGCGGAAGCTAATTTCAATAGATATTGACCATAGGATGTACAAAGGCAAATATTTTTCTTATTTATTTCGTCAAGCCAATTCATATTGAGGTCAGAAATAGGGTATTCAGTCAATTGTTCTACAAATCTACTAAATATCGTTATTCGTCAATGATAAGTAACGAGTATGATCAAGTCAAAAACAAAAAGCAATGCATTTTTATCTGTTGAACTTCAAATATTTTTCTCGTCAGCTGAACGTCGTATAGCGTAAGTATAAATAGAAAAAAACAAATGAATAATTCTATTGAATTTTCTTAAACATGGATTCAATGAAAAAATGTCAAAATATCGTTTACCAGCAAATATTTCTGATTTTCATTTTGGTAGAGGTATTCTAATGACAGAGATTAATCAATGTCAAGAACATTTCAATGTCCTGTGAATAAAAAACAGTTTAACCAATCAACAAAACATGACTATTATTACATATGAAAAAGGTAAACTAGTGTACCGTTTGATACTGTTCTCATGGTAAAAATTAAGTATTCTGGATTCTTTTATGAATAAAATTTTCATTGAGCCATACGAAAAACAAATCTCCACAATATTCAAGCCTATCTTTCATATAAATAGGGTTAAAGTTAGGAAAATATTCAGCTTACTGTAAAAGAGTATATCTCCAAGTTCAAACATTATTGGATTTATAGAAAGCTTTATAAACAGGACCTAAACTTTTATATAAAACGATGCGAAGGTGTACTATAAATCTCAAATGTTATATGTCGTCAAGATACAAATGCTAAAACAGGATTTCTGTAATCATCAATTTGTTTGTTTCGTTAGATACTCAATCCAAAGGAAAAAGTATGGGATAGCCCAGGATTTCTTTTTCTAACACAAACATTTCGTTTTCTTTAGTTGACGATTTTCTCTTGAATCACTTTATATAATTACCAATGAATTTCAATTAGTTATCGGATAAGTGAAAGTCTCTTTATCGCGAAATGCACGTACTTTTTTGTCGTCTCTACCAACCAGAAAGAACTTCCTGAAGTCATCTTTGTTCGTCACGCCACCCCTATCGTTAAATGCTTTGGTCCCAAAATGAGAAGGGGTCTCGTATAGTGAATATTTTAAAATATTTTGTTAAATGCTCACATTAGAAGTCTTTACTGTTGTCGTGTAAATGGATTCCATATCCTTGTTTGACTTTCTATGAATATTAGTACTTAATTATATTTTATTAATAACTTCATGTTGGGGTAAAAACAACTAGACAAGGAGATCAGCCAGACGAAAGAAAAGAAGTAACAGGCACTGATAGACTAGGGAGTGTGTAGGCCTGTCACAGGAAGACCAGACCAGCAAATGTCAGCATGCTTGGGTCTCTGACGCCTACCATTATAGACAAATAAAGAACATCACTTTTCAACCAGCTCCTCGACTTGGTTTGACTGAAAAGTTGAGTCTACTCTAGACTCGAATCGTTCCACCGCCTATGTTACCATAATTACCTGATCATATACCATATGCAAAATTAAATCGTTTTGTTGCTTATTTGTAACAACTGCATTTCAATTAAAAACAACAAGTGAACTTTTTACTTCATTTTATTTTTAGCGGAAAATCAATGAAATCCAAATTTTACACTGGATCAAGATCTAACGATTAATAAAGACTTAGTTGATTCTTTGTCGTCGAAGATTTGATTCCAAACTTTTTGTTCAAAATGAAATATAAAATTGTTTTCATTAAAATTTTCACTTTACAAACTAAAACGTACACTCATTGAGACGATTGATTGATATCATATTGTGAAAAAACTTATTGCTCCTAATCGATTGTTCATTATCGACGATTAAGAAAATTTTGAATTTTAGATTTAATTCATCGAAATTTTTCTTAATCGTATTTCGACACATCTCAATTGAATTTGATTTGAAACTCTGTAAAACTTACAATGCACTTTTCTATCCATCTGATTGCTTAAAAATGTTCATCTTCGAATTTTTGGTCGGTCGG